GCTGTGTGTACTTCATGAGATTCCTGAGGACCAAAATATGCCCACTTTGGTTGCAAAGTTGTCTGGGAGAGCTCTGGATATATTCAATAAGATGCCAATTAGAGATGCTTCAGATTATGGTAAATTCAAGGAAATATATTTAAAACTGTTTCAGATTACACCTGAAACATCTAGATTAAAATGTAGAAGCCTTAAGAGGGGTGCTGGGATGAGTAATGTGGCATATGTAAACCAGATGAAAGATTTGATGGAAAAGTGGGTAAAGGGAAAAGATGTTACAAGCTTTGAAGGAATGTGTGATCTTGTTGCTCAGGAACATTTTCTGAGTATATGTAGAGATGATGTGAAACTGTTTATGGGATAAAAAGGTGAAAACTGTTGATGAACTGGCTACTCTAGCTGATCAATTTGAGCAAACCCAAGCATCTATTGCAGGGGTAGGCAACCTATGGCACGCATGCCAAAGGCAGCACGCAAGCTGATTTTCAGTGCCACTCACACTGCCCGGGTCCTGGCCACCGGTCCGGGGAGCTCTGCATTTTAATTTAATTTTAAATGAAGCTTCTTAAACATTTTAAAAACCTTATATACTTTACATACAACAATAGTTTAGTTATATATTATAGACTTATAGAAGGAGACCTTCTAAAAACGTTAAAATGTATTACTGGCACGCGAAACCTTAAATTAGAGTGCATAAATGAAGACTCAGCACCCCACTTCTGAAAGGTTGCCAACCCCTGATCTATTGCAAACAAACCACAGACAGAAGAGTTTAAACCTGGTGGGAAGCAGAGTTCCCGTTTTACTCTTGGGAAGAAGGAGGGTGGAGGGGAGTCTGGGTGCTCACCTCCCCAAATCCATTCCTCTAGTCCTTGTTCCAAATCTCCTGTAAAAACAGAGGAGCCCAGAAGGTGCTATCACTGTACTTCCACTTAGCACCTGAGGAATAAATGCCCTGTGCTGGGTGGGAACAAGCCGCAAGCAACTCATGGAAATGCTGCTACCCTGAGCACAGAGGCACTTCAGGCAATTGCCACTTACCATACAGGGTTGTCCAGCCAGGCATCAAGCACATAAAGGCTGCCAGGATTAATGGCAGAGAACACGTGGGGTGGAAAGACACGGGGTTGTGCAGGAAAGTTACTGCCAGGGCAGATGGCAGAGCTTTTATTAGTGGGAGGTTACAAAATCCTTGTGCATATAGAAACTGAGGATTTGGAAGTTGTATTGGCTGTGGCTGTGGTAAATGATAACCCGACTGCTTTGAGAATGATTTCTTCCGTGTAGCTCGGGATGTCAAGGAGAAATTTTATGCTGGAACCTCAGAGGTAAAGAGCAAAGTCTCAGGAACCGCTGGAGGAATGGGAGAGTGTCTCTCTAATTCCTCTGCAGCAGTGCAAAACTGTATGCTTCCAGGGGTGGGTGTGGTTGAGGCCAGCTCCTGCCACCTGGTAGCTAAAGGCAGGGTCTCTTCGGGGGGGAACCCGTCACAAACACCTCTCCTTTTTTTTCCCCCTGCCTGTCCTTCCTCAGCAAGATGTTCCCTTCTGTAGCAATATTCCAGTCATGTATATTATCCTGCCAAGTCTCTGTGATGCCAGCTATGTCATAGTTGTGATTATTTACTAGTATTTATAGCTCTTCCTATTTATTCCTCATACTTCTTGCATTAGTATACAGACATCTAAGATACTTATTTGATTTCCACACTGTTCCCTCTTGTTTCTCCTTTGTCCTTGCTATAATTGCCTCATGCTTCCTTTAGATTCAGACCCTTCACCCATGTCTCCATGTTTTTGGCTTACCTGTGAGCTTTTGTTTCCTGACCCCGTTGAATCTAGCTTAAAGTCTTCTTCACTAGTTTAGCCAGAGTGGAACAAGGAATTGGGAATAGAAGATTGTTGCAATACCAGTATCTCCTTTCTTTCACTGAGAGAAGAGGCAACAGGAACTATGTTAAGAATTTCCGTCTTCTGCTAAAGAGGTTTCCAGGAATCCCAGCATAACTGGATGGCACCATTGCCACAGTTCTCTCTTCCCTACTGGGAGGGTGAACTCTGGGTGAACAGAAGTTTTGTCATTTCATAAAAAGTTACTTTCAAGGACTATATTGCCTCCTTAAGAGGAGAGGAATGCTCAACTTTTTTGTCATTGTCTGAAGGTGTAGGAATTTTTAAATTCTGGTAATTTTGTGGAGGCATCCATGGGGACATTTAGGTCAGATTTGTGTATTTTCAGTGAATGTTGATGCTATGTTTTCCAAAAGAGCTTGTTTGGAGGCTTAGCTTGTATTTTCCCTATAGGGTAATTTGTCTGTCTGATCAGTAACAACACTTTTGAAGTCCAGACACCAACTGAGATTGACTTTGTATTGATGCAGTACTTGGGGTTCATGAAGTATTATCTGTGACAGTCAGGCTGCAGACACCTCAAAGGAAATCAGAAATTTAACACATTAAAATGAGCAGTTGGTTTAACTGATTGTGTACTGTGTTGTATTATAAAACTATGTTGAGTAAGGTCTTTTTCTGCAAGCTTCTGATGTTCTGAACTTGATGGTCATTATGAGATGTATACAGACTATGGTTATTAATTTATGTATTTGTGTATATAGAAAGCTATGCTCATAATCTATGGGGCAGCTTCAGCTGTATCTCACAGTAGTGTGGTGAAGCAGTCAGATAGGGAAGGGCACTTTCCAAACCAGTTGTTTACACAACCCCAATTTAAAGTACCCATATATTGTCCAGCTCAGGAAAAGAAAATGATGGACTATTAGAGTTAGTGGGGAGACATTGAGACATCCTGGCTAGAATTTACCCCACTCTGAATAATCATGAGTTATCATGCCAGGAGACAGAGAGAGTTTAAAAAAAAAGGGGGGGGGGGAATCAGTTTCAAGCTTCCTTTTAAAAAGGAAGTTGTCATCCAGAAACTGAGGGACAGCCTCTATGAGGGAAGCTGTCCATGAACGTAGGATCCCCCATATAGCTAGGGGTATGCTGAGAAACTGTTGAAAGGCAATAAATAACTTGTATTTTTATCTTCAAGTATCAACGCAGGGAGAAGATATGTGATAGTAGGGGGCTCTATAATCTAGCAGACAGAAACATAACAAGATCCAGATGAAGCTAGACAAATTCAAACTGCAATATTTTCCAGTCTGAGTCCTTGTGGTTCTTCTCTGAACTCTTCCTGTTCTTCTTTGAGTGGTTGCAGACATGTATTCCATTCGTGTGTGAGCACCCAGCACACCAAAGCCAGGGAACTTTGCCTAGGAGTACCTGTAGAAGTGGCACTTAACATAAGAACGGCCATACTGGGTCAGATCAAAGGTCCATCTAGCCCAGTATCCTGTCTTCCAACAAAAAGAACAGGAGTACTTGTGGCACCTTAGAGACTAACAAATTTATTAGAGCATAAGCTTTCGTGGGCTACAGCCCACTTCTTCGGATGCATATAGAATGGAACATATATTGAGGAGATATGTATACACACATACAGAGAGCATGAACAGTTAACTCCCACCTGTTCATGCTCTCTGTATGTGTGTATACATATCTCCTCAATATATGTTCCATTCTATATGCATCCGAAGAAGTGGGCTGTAGCCCACGAAAGCTTATGCTCTAATAAATTTGTTAGTCTCTAAGGTGCCACAAGTACTCCTGTTCTTTTTGCGGATACAGACTAACACGGCTGCTACTCTGAAACCTGTCTTCCAACAGTGGCCAATGTCATGTGCCCCAGAGGGAATGAACAGAACAGGTAATCATTGAGTGAGCCATCCCTGTTGCCCATCCCCAGCTTCTGACAAACAAAGGCTAGGGACACCATTCCTGCCCATCCTGGGTACTAGCCATTGATGGACCTATCTTCCATTAATTTATCTAGTTCTTTTTTGAACTCTGTTTTAGATTTGGCCTTCACAACATCCTCTGGCAAAGAGTTCCACAGGTTGACTGTGTGTTGTGTGAAGAAATACTTCCTTTTGTTTGTTTTAAACCTGCTGCCTATTAATTTTCATTTGGTGACCCCTAGTTTTCTTGAGTAGTTTTGTATCATCTGCAAATTTTGCCACCTTACAGTTTATCCCTTTTTTCAGATCATTTATGAATATGTTGAATTATAGTGGTCCCAGTACAGGCCCCAGGGACGCCACTATTTACATCTCTCCATTCTGAAAACTGACCATTTATTCCTACTCTTTGTTTCCTATCTTTTAACCAGTTTCTGATCCATGAGAGGACCTCCCCTTTTATCCCATGACAGCTTACTTTGCTTAAGAGCCTTTGGTGATGGACCCTGTCAAAGGCTTTCTGAAAATCTAAGTACACTGTATCGATTGGATCCCTCTTGTCCACATTCTAGTTGACCCCCTCAAAAAATTCTAGTAGATTGGTGAGGCATGATTTCCCTTTACAAAAACCATGTTGACTCTTCCACAACAAATTATCTTCCTTATACCCCCTTCATGTTTTCATCTGTCTCTCAGTGCTACTTCCCTCTGAACTGTTTCCATTTTGACTTCCCTAATTTTAATCTTTGATTTTCAATTTCTATTTTAACCCTTCCCACTTCGTACAGATGTAGCTCTCTTGGTTAGTGCATTAGGGATATTGCATAGTGTGTCACCATATTGAGATGAATGTGGTGTTTAAGGGGCAATGCTGATATTGTTTTGATTGACACCGTGTTTTCTAAAGGCTGGGTTAATGGGCATAAGCAGATCAGATTATGTTGAAATTTTTCTCTGCGATATGGAAAACTTCTAAACACAACATTGTTTTAAAACTGTGGGTACAGCAATTGTAATGAGTCTAAAATCTCACAGTTCATACTGTTTGCACACCTATGATTTTTCTCATGACCTTGTTCATCACTAAACACTATACAGGCAATTCATACTGCTGTAAATTAGGAAGTCCCTCTTATGTTACCTTGAAAGCCTATGCCAGTTGGTCTGCTTAATAACCTTCTTTTCTTTTTCCTCTTAGGAAATTTGCTACAGGATCCTATTGCTCCCACCAACTCCACGTGTCAGCATTATGTCTGCAAAACTTGTAAAGGCAAAAAGATGATGATGAAACCATCATGTAGTTGGTGCAAAGACTATGAACAGTTTGAGGAAAATAAACAGTTGAGCATTCTAGTGAACTGCTACAAAAAACTGTGTGAATACATAACACAGACTCCATTGGCGCGAGACATAATACAAGCAGTTGACTGTTCTGCAGATCTTTTGGCTTTGCTCAAAGATGGATCACCACTCCATGAAGACACAGAAAACATTTCTGATGCAGCCATGCCTTTGTGTTTGACACATTCTCCATTACCTTCAACCTCAGAACATATTAATGATCCTCAAGCTAGTTTTTCTTCAATACCTGAAAGTACGCATAATATTGATATTAGAAGTTCTGTTATCAATGGGTTGCCCAATTGTAATGGGCTTTCAGTGGATAAACTTGGAGTAAATATTCCTTCCCCTGAACATGCAAATACAATTGATGTGTGTAGTACTGGAGAGTACATAAAAACTGAGGATATCTCTAGCAGTCTTCAGCCTGTGTGTGACACAGTTTCTACTAGTGACTTGTGTACATCAGGCCTTGACATCTGCAGTTTCAACGAAGATATAAAACCTGGCTCGCTATTGCTTAGTGTTGAGGAAGTTCTCCGAAGCTTAGAAACTGTTTCAAGCACTGAAGTCTGTGGTTCTGATTTGCAGCCCAGCTTGGAAGCCACCGTATCCAATGGTCCTTTCCTGCAGCTTTCTCCCCCACCTCTTAGCCATAATGTTTTCATGTCCACAGGTGCTTCTCCTCATGGGATCTCATGTACAGCAGCAACACCTAAGGTAGTTAAGTTAAACCGGAAGCGATCTCGATCAGAAAGTGACAGTGAAAAGGTTCAGCCACTACCCATTTCCAGCATCATCTGTGGCCCAACGTTGGGAGCATCAGCTCCAGTAACAGTAAAACAGGAAAATAAAATGTCTTTGCAGCCTGTAGCAACTGTACCCAATGGAGGCACTACTCCCAAAATAAGTAAAACTGTACTCCTGCCTAATAAAAGCATGAAAAAGAATCTAGAACATGCCCCCAAGAAATCTCACCCGAAAGCCAAACCAGGAATACTGAAAACAAAAGACAAAGCAAAGGAAAAGGTTGCTAGCAGTAATGTTATGCCAGGAAGTCCGACAAAAACTGCATACAAAAAGCCACAAGAAAAGAAAGGGTGTAAATGTGGTCGCGCCACCCAAAACCCAAGTGTTCTTACATGCCGTGGCCAACGCTGTCCTTGCTACTCTAACCGTAAAGCCTGCTTAGACTGTATATGCCGTGGCTGCCAAAACTCATATATGGCTAATGGGGAGAAGAAGCTGGAAGCATTTGCAGTGCCAGAAAAGGCCTTGGAACAGACTAGGCTTACTTTGGGCATTAATGTGACAAGCATTGTGCGCAGTGCCAGCACAAGCACCAGTGTAATTAATGTGACAGGGTCACCAGTAACTACATTTTTAGCTGCCAGTACACACGATGATAAAAGTTTGGATGAAGCTATAGACATGAGATATGACTGTTAAATCATTTTTTTCGTCTTTTCCCTGCCCTTAGTAGGGGAACTGCTACAGTTTTAAGGCAGCTATGGTTCTGTTTAACTTGCCGAAGCTCCTGCCTATAGATCACTTGTATCAAGTGTTTTTCATTGCTATGTTATGTGTGTTAGTGTCTGGGAAATAGTTTGCAGATAATGGAGGAGTTACCCTAAAACTATGTCTTTAGATCTCACAGCAACTCATAGTTTGAGATCAGATGCTGATGTAAATGGTTTTAATACAAGATGACCTTTGGAAAGGAACATATTAACCTCATTGTACCAGTTAATGCTTTGTGCTCAATTAAAGCTTCCGATTAAATGTAAGGAAGTGGTATCTAGTCAGTCCATCAAAGTTGTGCTAGTTTATGATGTGTGAAAGTAACTGCCAAATACACTGCCATAGGGAGTCAGTGTTGCTAGCAAATCACATCCCATTCCTGTTGAAAGTACAGTATTAACGGAGGACTGCAGTCTTTGAATGACACATCTTTTTTGATCATGAGCATTGGTTATCTAGAGCATGGAACAGTACAAATCAGTAATTTAATGGAAAGAGAAGTTGTCCCTCATTGGAATTGGCTAAGAAGTAACTGGGCAATCAACTGGAATCAGTTGTAAAGTGGCTGTCCCTCCAGATCCTGCTCAAGTTTCTGTGTAATCGCTTCATTCACTTTTTCTAAACAGCCTGCAGGTGGATGTGTGACTGGTATATTTTATGCCCTGTGGCACTAACTCCATTCATCTTTGGCATGTTGCTGTTCACTTCATCATGAGAGGGGAAACAACTGATAAACAAAGAAGGGCCAAATACCACATATGTAAACCCATTGATTTCAGTGGGAGTTGCTGCAAGTGGTATCTGAGAAGAATTTGACTCTAGGTTACAAATATAAAAAATAAATCTGGGCTGGGTTAAAATCTTTGTCCATTGGTGCCCCCCAATACATCCTGGTTTATACAGCCTTTACCCACCATTGGTTTCTCTTTTCTTCACTTAAAGATATAAATGAGGTTAACACTGTATTGTGATGCACTTGGGATCTATTTACCCTAGGAAAATAGCCCATTGTTACTTGCTTCCCCTCAGTCAGGAAAGAGAACTGATGGGTAAACAGGATCAAGTTATTTTCACTACTCATTAGGTAAAGTATGCAAGACAGCATATTCCACCAAGTGTTCAACTCACTCATCTACATTCAGTATGCCCAACTGGTTGATTTCCAGTTAATCCCTGAAAATAAGGAAATAGTTTGAAGAAGGCTTTTTGCATTTTGCACAACATTACAGCAGTTTTAAGATTTTTTTATGCCATTCTAAAGAAGTCAGACTTCCTCATGATGCAGAGATATCTCCTCTTTAAATGGCACAGCACAAAAAAAAAAGATGGTCTGACTAGTATACAAAGCATTATCCTTGTAATTTAAAGGACAATTACTATTTATAACAGCGTGTCTAAAGAGAAACAGTGCTTGAATTTTTCAAATTCCATTTTATGGCAGCCATATTTTTATTAATTAAATGAAATCTCCAATGAATTATGACATAATGGATATATTTTGATTGTGCACAAAGCATGTACAATGATGGTTACCTGTCTAAGAAATAAGCAAAAACTTTTTGGACACAAATCAAATGACACCACCTTTTGTTTTTGTAGTGTACTATGGTGTCATTTTCTGTGAATGTGGTCAGATAATTTTTTTCGTTTTGTTTTGTATTTCCCCCCGTCTTTTTTGTGGGGTCGGTTAGGGTGGGGTGTTAAAGCCATAGGAAGAAAAATGTGATGTATGTGTCCAGTCTGTACTATTTTGTTTTTGTTTTGCAAGAAGAGTTGAAAAATATTTTTGATAACGAGAGTAAATGGTGGAAAATGCTTCTTAGTATTCTTGTCTTTATTTGCCAATCCAAGTACCTGAATTCCCTGTTTTTAACCCTCATGAGGCTTAATGATGTCCTATTAAAACATATTTAGTTAAATTTGTATGTGATTTTGTGTGTTGACCAAGAGACTCCTACCATTTTCTACTTTGGTGGTTTGACTTTAACCTACTCATGTAAATCTGTGTTTATTATTCCACTACATGTAAGTAAAGTAATCAAGTGACAAACAGATTTTAGTGGAGTTTGAGCAACATGGGTAGTAGCTTCTGAACACTTCCGCAAAGCTGTTAAGTTTTGCTGAGATTGTTGTTAGTACATTTATTTGTACTCTAAACTATATACTTCAGTACACATTCCTCAATGTAGGAGTAGTTTGGAATTATTTATTTTTTACTGTTGCATTAAGTGAGGTTCCAGTTGTTGGAGATTTAGGTGAAGTGTTTTTTGGAACCATTGATAGGAACCCCTGATCATTAATGTAACATTGCTAAATGGTAAATTCAGGTTGTTTTTAAAAACAAGTTTCCTTTCATGCTACCACGTTCTTGAAATGTGTATTAAAATGTAAATTGATTAATAAATGTTAGTTTTCTAATTCTATTTTGTAACTGCTGGGGGCATCAGTGTGGCATGTCTGAATGCTTTTTAGTTTTCAGAAGAAAATTACTTGTTTCTTCATAATTTAAAATTAGCTTTTGTTTCTTTTCATTTTCTGCCTCCTCTGTATGTTGAGGAGTAAATTAAGCAGTGGAAAAGGATTATGAGTTTGGAGGAGAGAACTGCAGTGAAATAATTGCACTGGTCCTGGCTTTCTAGGACCATTTAAAGCAACCTAAATAGTAGCATAAATGGTCTTTACCTTCACGCTGGCTGTTTTTTGCCTATCTACACTAGTGAGTACCACAGTTGCTATTACAAGTGGCACTGCCCCCATGGAGTGGTGCAATAGTGGGAAACCTTGAAGTCTTTGCTAATGTAAATAAGACCACTTGGGGCTACCCTGCATTTGGTACATATGTGCTCTTTCTCTCTCTCTCCTCAGAGTTTTTGAAGTAATGCATTACTCTTGCAAACTTCCTTCAAATTCTCTAGTTTTAGAACTGCATCAGCAACAAAATGTAGCTGGTGAAGGACCACTATCCTCAAAGATATTTCTGATGTAAGTTGCTTCTTAGCTGGGAGTATGCGGCACAAATTGGAAGATCAAAAACTTGCTTTCAAAAATTGGATCAGTAACTTGTCTGTCCTTTTCTGGGATGTGTAATATTTCTCTTGGAAAGGTGCAGTTCATCTGGTACAAAATTAATGTGGTGTTCACATCCATACCATCTGAATACAAGAGTGAGAATCCTTTGTCAAGGAATAGACACATTAAAACGTTTTCCATGCACCAAACTACTATATATATATATATATATATATATATATATACACACACACACACAAATATGTCCAAGTTGCAAGCGCATCTAGTTTGGCTAGACTTTCAATTTATTATTTTTACAGTAACAAAAGTATGCTTCATGTATGCTTCAAAAGTATGTTTAAAGAAACATAAAGAAAAAAGGTCCCTGCCCCAATGGTCTTACATTTATCTAATTGTAGACAGGCACCAAGAGGGAGAGAAACAAATAGGGTAGATGAAGTAATAAGTAATTTGGGCATTTGTATGTCATGAAATTATGTTGTGTATAAACAACTTCGGAGTGTTTTTTCACCTTGTAGCTGATATGGCAAAAGTGAGTTTTAAGAGGGATTAAAATAAGGTAAGGATGGCGGCTTGATAAATGGATATTGGGAATATGTTCCACACTGGAGGGACAGTGTGGGGAAAAGAATGTGTGGGATTAGGAGAAAGAAATGAAGGGAGATGTTGAACAGAGCTTGAATTGCAGGGGGAGGAAGGGGGCTGGGTCTCATTATTTTTAGGGTCTACCCAGCTTTTGATTTATTCAAAGGCTTGGGGCGGGAAGGGTGATTTGGCCCCCTTCTCCCTTTGTGGCCAGCAGTAGGGTCAGGAGCTACCGGGAGAACAGCAGCAGCAGGTGCTGCCACCCCATGGTAGGGGGAGCTGGAGTGTAGCAAGGGGAGAGTCCACAATCACAACTGGTCCTCCTGTTCAGACTTGGTACTTCACTGATGTATCCCGGGCTCTGACACCCCACTCTGGAGAAGCCCCTTCACCCCAGCAAGAAGTGATAGGTGCTGTCTGGTGCCTTGGCCAGCTGCTTGACAGAGATCAGTTCCCACCACTCCTCCAGCAACAGGGCTGAGGGAAAGGGGGTTAGAAATTGGGTGAGCTGGAGCCAGAGGGGAGGTTGTAGACCTGTTGAATTGGGAGGAGAGGGGACTTGGCAGCTACATGGGGGAAACTGGATAGAGAACTGGTAGTCGTGGGTAGAAGGGGTGCTGTGGTAGGTGCAGAAGTGGGAGTTACGTGTGGGGAGCAGGCAGGGCAGAAGGTGGTGGGTAATGGGTAGGGGAGATGGGGTGTTAGAGGTAGGGGAGGCAGGGGCAGAAGGTGGGGGGTTATGCAGTAAGGACAGCCAGGGAGAGGAGGAGGGTCAGAAAGGGGCAGTTAACAGGTAAAGGAAAAGGGGGCAGTTTAGGGGTAGGGAAGACATTGGGACAGAAACGGGAGTTAGGGGCAGAGAGGAGGAGGCAGTCTCGCTGCAGCTGAATTTGGCTTTGCAGCACCAAGGTGCTAGCACAGGAGTCTCCAGGGGATACTCTGGCACCTCAGTTCAGCTGTCTCCAGGGCCATCCACATTCATTAAGGGCTCCATTCATTATGGTCAACCCCTACTTTTCCCCCCAGAATTCGATCATTGGTATTGAGGCTGATGACATTTTGACATTTGTGGATCAGTCAAAGGTGGGGGAATGCCCTGGCAGACTGAGTCATGGATACAGATCAAGTTGCAAATGAGCAAGGTCCCTGAACATGTGAGTGAGAAGTTTTGACCTTGATGATCAGGGTAATGGGAATTGTTGCAGGCTTAAAAGATGTGGGCAATGTGATCTGAATGACATTGAGAAAAAAGATTTTGGGGGAACATGAGGGGAACATCCAATCAATAATCCCCATGCTATGACACCTCAGTAGAATGAATTACTTTTAATTTGAAAAACAGACAATGCAAAGTAAAACAGCAAAGGTAAAACCATGCCAGCACAAGCGATCTCCATGCTACCTCTTCGAGTTTCAGAACCTTTGCTATTAAGTCTCTACTTCCTGCAAACATCACCTAGTTATATATAAAAAGCAGGTTAAAATACATACAGATTAAATTGCAAGCATTGTTTAAATGTATAGTTCTTACAGTAGTTTGTGTTCTTTATTGAAGCTCACTTTTGATGCATGGATTTAAGATACCGTGATTTTTAAAAAAGCATATTTTTCAAGTTGCCTGTACAAGTGGTATCCTCGGTACCGAGCAAGCATCGAAGCCTGACATCTACAATGCTTGCAGTGTGCTCACCATCACTGGTACCATTGACTCCAGCTATGGCGATCTCAGTTATGACATTGGTACCAGTGTCCTTTCCGGCACTTTAGGAGTTCCAGTACTTGAGGGACATCTCATTGTTGGAAGAGCCAGAGTCCCCGTTATCAGGTACCAAGCATCTTTTGGTACTGAGACCTCATTCTCTGAGTAGCCATTCCATGTCACAGGACTCTCCTCCAACCTCATTGGCTGCCCCCACGTGGAGGAAGAGGACTGTTAGTCTCCTCGATTTCTGAGGTGTTCTCCTACATAACCCTTTGGGAATCTGCCTTTGTGCCGGGAGGACCTTGCAGGTCATCAAGGATGGTGGAACCAACCTTGTATGCCACCCCTGCTTCCTTATGGACCCCGCAGTGGCCATAGTGGGACCCGTGGGCTGCCTATTGACAGCAATTTAACAGACCATCAGTACCATCCCTCAAAGAGACTGGGATTTCACATTCTCCCTCTACCCATCCATGACAGGAGGAGACATTTCAAGAGCAGGAGGCTAGGGCATATGAGGAAGTCATCTCTGAGACTCCCATTTCTTCATCACCAGATGAAGCAGTTATTTCTCCACCACCTTCCATGTCCAATGACTTCAGGCAGTTTCAGGACTTCACTAGAAGGCTACCTGACATCCTACAGATCCCTCTGGAGGAGGTCAAAGATCTGCAGCACAAGTTGCTAGATATTTTGCAGTCGGCAACACCCTCCTGAGTAGCGCTACCTATTAATGAGGCTCTCCTGGATCCAGCTAAAACGGTATGGTAGATGCCAGCCACTGTTCCACCAATATGCAGTTGTGAATGCTCCGTAGCTGTGAATGAACAGAGTAGGCAGCACATTTTGAGAACTACCCCTACGACAAGGACCAAAAGCAACTGAATGTCTTTGGATGAAAATGTTACTAGTTCAGAACTGTGCAATTCCAGATCACAGTCAGGTTGTCATAGCCAAATATACATTACTGAGGCCAGGTCTACACTACCACTTACTTC